TTTACCTTCAAGCCTTTAAGAACCCAGATGCTATAGCTTTTGATAGCCAGGCACCACCAGCTTTCTTCACCACATTTGCTTATGTACCCACTTGAGAATTTTTCTTATGTACTCTGGGATTTTCTGTATGTAGAGACAATTTTGCTTCTTTTATAATTGGGATTCCTTCCTCTACCCCACTCCACCCCTTTATTTTTTAATGCTTTGACTAGGAAAACATGCCTTTGGAATCATTAATTTTATCACATGTCTTAAAGAGTCTTCGAACCATAATACTGGGAGCACATCGTATCATACACTTCCCTTTGTTCAGGTAATGGAATAGTTTGGGATGTTAGAGACCACGTTGCTCAAGTTAACATCCTACAGCTGGGTTTAATCCATAGTCTTTTTAGTTGTGCTTATTCCTTGACTTAAAGTAACTTTCGCAGCACCTGTTTCCTTTCATTCTGGGCTTCAAAGTTTTTTGTTTTAAAAAAATTGTTAGAACACAGCCACAAAAGGAAAAATGAAACTACATCAATACTGTAGAGAAACAGCTTACACATAATGCACATTTCAGATCTACGGGCGTACCAAATGCTGGACAAAATTTGGTAGCTTTCACTTGGAGCTCAAAGCGGAACCCTGTAGCTACAGGCCTTCCACAGCCCTCTCTCAACTGATTACATTCAGAATTAACTCAAGTACTCCCATAACACAAAAACACTTTGTTCTAACAATCTGGCATTCTCTGATGCTCACCTTCCCTAGATGATCCCTGAAGGCAAAATCAGAAAGCTGATGGTGCCCAGATATCAAAAGATATAGCATCTGGGGTCTTAAAGTGGTGACCTGGCTCAGAAGCAACAAAGCCCACATGAAAGAAGCACAGGAGCCTGTGTGATCAATAGGTGTCGATGGGATCAGGTAGCAGGCATCTAAGACCCAGAATAAAATCATACCCAAGGTGAAGGGTGTGGGGGAGCATGGAGTGGAGACCCAATGCCCATCTGTAGACAATTGGACATTGCCTCACAGAGAAGTCACAGGGAAGATATGAGCCAGTCAGGGTGCAGTATAGCACCAATAAAACACACAACTTTCCTCAAGTTCTTTGGCGCTTCCTTCACCCCACTATCATGACCTCAGTTCTACCTTACAAATCCGATTAGACCAGAACATGCATACTGCTACAGATAAGAGCTTGCAACACAGGGAATCCCAGGACAGATAAACCTGTAGGGGCCAACAATGAGTAGAGCTACCAGGAGGATTAGGGGAGGGTGGTGGAAGATAGAGGAAATGGACCACAGGATCAAACTAGAACCCCCTCCCAGGAGCTTGAATAGTGGAAAAGTGGGTGAGGTAGAGATGGGGAGGACGATGTAAGATATGGAAAAAATCATCTATAACTTATCAAGAGTTCATGAGGGAGGGCGGGGGAAGAAATGGGTAGCTGTTATAAGGGGCTCAAGTGGGAAGAGAATGCTTTGAAAATGATGGTGGCATATGTGCAAATGTGGTTGACACATTGGAGGAATTATGGATTGTGATAAGAGATGTAAGAGACCCCAATACAAATTTTTTTTAATGAATCAGGGCAGAACCCGACGGTGACAGAAAAGCCACTTGCACGTACTCATTTATCGTTAGTAAAAAGTGGCTGATCATTTAAAGAAACTGGTCTTTCTCTACCTTTTATAAGTTAAGAAAGCATCTATCACACAGCTGACTCCAAAAAAAAAAGAAATAATGGCGAGTGAAAGGGAGCTGGAAGCCCGCGGCGGCATCAGAATAAAAAGACAAGAAGCGAGCCTACGCCACACTCCGGTCCGGTCCAATCCACACCGCCCATTCCCGGACGCCGGTCAACTTGAAGCTCGCCCCCGGAAGTGAAGCCAGAGAAAGCGCAACGTCCAAGCGCGTGCCTACGTAAGCGCGCCAACGTGACGCGTCATGCTTCCGGCGCTGGAAAGCCCTGGGCTCGCGGGCGGGGGCGGGGCGGAGGCGGGGCCTGGGCCTGGAGGCCGCTTGGGTGGGTGGGTAGGTGGGTGCAGACGGAGAGGACTACGGGTCGGCGGTGGGCTCAGCGGGCTGGGAACAAAGGGCTGTCCCGCCTGCGCTCGGCGCGGCGCCTTCCGACGAGTGTTTGCCTCGGCGTCTCGGCCGCCTAGGATCCTCGCCCCGCGACTCCCAGTCGGCTTTCGTTCGGTCCGTGGCGCAGCGGCACCTGCTGCTGAGGGACCTCGCGGCCCGCCCGGGTGCCCATGATGGGGCTGATCTTCGCGAAGCTGTGGAGCCTCTTCTGTAACCAAGGTAGGAAGGACGGAGGGAGCCGCGCCGCGGCTGCCCCCGAGCAGGCGGCTGCGGCCGGAGGAAGGGCTTTCCGCCACCCGGAGCGGTTCGAAACTCGGTGTTTCCGCGGGCGAGAGCGTGCAGGGAAAAGCACGGGTCCGAACCCAGACCTCTGGCCTCATAGCGACGCAAAGCGGAAAACCCACGCTGATGCTGAGACGTTTCCGAGCGCCGTCTTTCATCGGTGCCTGTGGCACTCGAGCCGAGTGCAGAAGCGCCCTCTCGGGAGCCTATCAACTTTTTATCTAGGGAGTTGCTTTGTGTCTTTCTCTCCCTTCTAAGCCTTCGTGCCTTTTTCTGAGATGTTAGAAAACTAAATGGTTTCAGTTCGCGATGTGGGCTATTAGGAGCCCACGATTCGTCTTCCACAGGTTACTGAGATACCGACAAGTGGCACCCGCACAGGGGCAGAAGTTGCAAAACCTGTTCTGAGTCAGAGATGGTGATGGGATGTCTTCTAAAGGGAGGGAAAAAACTGGCTCCCAAAACAGATTGGTACTCGGTAAAGTTTTAGGCAATCGTTAGTGATCGTGTTAAGCCCACTCCTTATACATTGCATTGAAGACCTGAACTTAATTTACAAATAAATATTGATGACAGTACCAATTTGGTCAGCTAAAGTAGGTATCATTAAAAAGCCCCAAAGAGGGTGGAATGGCTGGCTGTGGTTCATTTGTACTTTGGACTGGCAAAAACAGTCTTTTTGGAAGTTGTAAATCAGTACTCATGCATTTTTACAGGCGCATACACTAATGTTGCCGGTGTCTATGCAATTACCAGGGGTAAATGTCAGCTATTTCAGTTGATTTTAAAGAGTGAGTGTGGGGCCAGTTTAACCTTGTATGAATATTTCTCATACATATATACATTTTTCAGCTGTTTGTAACGTCTAATCTCCCACGCATAATTACTTTGCGAACTTTAAGACATGCTAAAACATATACACATTAATCAGAAGATCCCTTGTTTATCATGCCCTTGGCTTAAACTATTACCAAAGTAGGTGAATTTCCCCGCGTACATGGTCTTTTTCCTTTTCCTCAGCACCCAGTTTTATCACTGCTGCTTGTCATTCTATTGAGGCTTCCTTAGTCTGACTAGGTTGGAAGAAAGACCTAAAGAGAAACTTCAGGAGATGGTGAAAAGTATTCACTGCCTGCTTTAAGAAAATGTATTAAATACTTTTATGAGGGGCTCTTACATCTCTTATCACAATCCATACATTTATCTATTGTGTCTAGCACATTTGTGCATATGTTGCCATCATCATTTTCAAAGCATTTTCTTTCTACTTGACCCCTTGGTACCAGCTCCTCAATTTCCCCCCTCCCTCCCCCGCCCTTCTTCCCTCATGAACCCTTGATAAGTTACAGATTTTTATTTTCATATCTTACATCTTCCTCTGCCAACCTTCACCCACTTTTCTGTTGTTCCTCTCCCTGCGAGGGGTTTTATGTCAATCCTTGTGATAGATTCCCCCTTTACCCCCTCACCTTCCCCTTATCCTCCTGGTATCTCTATTCTCATTGTTGGCTCTGAGGGGTTTATCTGTCCTGGATTCTCTGTGTTAGGGGTTCTTATCTGTAGCTCACTGCTGACTTTTGTAACCACATAATTGTTTATAGTTTCCTGAATGCCAATTACGGTTGAAAGTGTGGAACTACTGGTCATTCTGTTCATCTCACATATTCATACAGTTAGCTTGTGCTTCTAGGCCATAGGCAAGCTTGCACAGTTAGGCATAGATACAAACATTTTAAACAGATTAAAAGATATGCCTCCTTGCTCTCCGAAAGATTAGTAAGTAACTGAGACAGGGATGGAGGAAAGTATACAGTCCAATGTTGCAAACAAAGTGCTGGAGCAAATCAGATACCAGACCCCCTGCCTCTGAGTCACTCAGTGACCCTATATGACAGAGTAGAAGTGCCCCAGAGGATTTCCAGGTTTGTCACTCTTTATTTAAGCAGATCACCACAAATCTCCTGTGCAGCGGCAGGCGAGTGCTAATCACCACTACTGTACCTGCCAGGTCTCATGAGTTAATTTAGCAGGTAAACATGTATCCAAGGAATTAAGAAAGCAGTGATTAATTTTTCTCAGGTGGTTTATAGAAAAAGGTATCCAATCTTATAAAGGGAAATGTCTTCTAAGAAACTCAATTGCCAAGGTTAGGTGCTGTTGAGTGGGACCGACTCATAGCGTCACCATGTACAAAAGACCAAAATACTGCCTGGTCCCGCACCATCCTCACAACTGTTCTTCTGTTTGAGCCAGTGGTCGCAGCCACTGTGTAAGCCCATCTCCAGCTCATCAAGGGTCTTTCTTTTGTCCACTGACCGGTTCCACTTTACTAAGCAGGATGTCCTTTTTCAGGGACTAGTATCTCCTAACATGTCCAACATGTGTGACAGCAAATCTTGATATCCTTCTTCTTTTAAAAAAAAAATCATTTCATTGGGGGCTCGTACAGCTCTTCTCATAATCCTTACACACATCCATTGTGTCAAGCACATTTGTACATTTGTTGCCATCATCATTCTCAAAATGTGTTCCTTCTACTTGAGCCCTTGGTATCAGCTCCTCATTTTTCCCGTCCTTCCCTACCCCCTTTCCTCAAAAACCCTTAAAAATTTATAAATTATTATTATTTTTTCAAGTCTTACACTGACCAATGTCTCCCATTCACCAGCTTTTTTGTTGTCCATCCCCTAGGGAGGGGATTATATGTAGATCATAGTGATCAGTGCCCCCTCTGTACCCCCACCTTCCCCTCCTCATACGCTATTCTCATTATTGGTTTTGCGGGATTTATCTGTCCTGGATTTCCTGTGTTGCAAGCTCTTGTCTGTACCTGTGTACATGTTCTTGTCTATCCAGATTTGTAAGGTAGATTTGGGAACATGATAGTGGATGGGGGGTGGGCGAGTAGAAAGCATTAAAGAACTAGAGGAAAGCTATATGTTTCATTGGTGCTATACTGTACCCTGACTGGCTCTTCTCTTCCTTGTGACCCTTCTGTAAAGGGATGTCCAGTTGTCTACAGTTGGGCTTAGGGTCTCCACTCTGCACTCTCCCTCATTCACATTGATAGGATTTTTTTGTTCTGGGTATTAGATGCCTGATAACTAATCCCATCGGCACTACATACATGATCACACAGGCTGGTGTGCTTCCTCCATGTGGACTTTGTTGATTCTGAGCTAGATGGCTGCTTGTTTGTCTTAAAGCTTTTAGACCCCAGACGCTATATCTTTTGATAGCTGGGTACCATCAACTTTCTTCACCACATTTACTATGCACCCATTTCGTCTTCAGTGATTGTGTCGGGAAGGTGAGCATCACAGTATGCCAGGTTATTAGAACAAAGTGCTCTTACACTGAGGGAGTACTTGAGTAGCGACCCAGTATCCATCCGTCTGCTACATTGATACTTTACATATAAGTATATATTCATAGATCTATTTCCCTATTGCTCTATATTGACATATTTACATGCCTGTATTTAGACCTCTATAAATGCCCTTTGCCTCCTAGTTCTTTCCTCTATTTATTTTTACTTTCCTCTTGTCCCTCTATCATGTTCGGCCTTCATTTGGGTTTCAGTAATTCCTCTTGGTTACATTGCGCTTGATCAAGCCCTCCCAGGCATCTGATGTCCTCCCCTCCATTGATTTTAGATCACTTGTTCCCCTGTCCCTGGGTTGGTTGACACTCCCCTCCCCACCCACCCCCACCCTGCTTCCTTTCCCTATCCTCTCCCTCCCATTTCCTGCACTCCCCAACCCTCAGTCCCATTGTTTTCTACCCTAGATTGTTTATCCCACTTATCTTATCTAGATAAACATGCAGAGACAATAATAAGCACAAAAACAAGGCAGCAAAACAAAACAAAAAAATACTAACGACCAAAAAAATCAAAAGCCTGTAAATAGTTTCAGGTCTGTTTGTTGACCTGTAGGAGTGTTTTCCAGTCGAATGTGATGGGGTGCCACGCCCTGGACCCAAAGTCTATTTTTGGTATTCCCCGGGGACTTCATTGTCTTGCTTCCCTTGCTGCTCTGTTCCAAGAGCTTAGCTTTTCACCCCGGTGTGATGGGGTCAGATTGGGCACAATTCCTTCACTGTGCCTCAGGGTTGTGCCTTATAGCGGTATGGGTCAGTGAGGGGCTATGTGTCTCATGGTGGGGCCAGCCCTATGGTCCTCTCTGTGCATCGGGTACTCTGAGCAGGAATATCGCCCTCGGCTTCATCTTTGCTTCTAAGGAGTATTCCCACTGTACTTTTGCAAAGACAGATTATTCTGGCAATCCACAGTACTTTCAGTATTCCTCACCAACACCATAATTTAAATGTGTCAATTTATCTCTGGTTCTCTTTATTC